CGATCTTTGGTTATTCAAAGTCTAGTTAGAGTTCCTTGGGGGGCTCGGGCTTGAGGCTCTGGCTAGGGTTTAGGGTTTAGGGTTTAGGATTTAGGGTTTTAGGGTTGAGAGTTTTGGGACATAGACCCTCTGAATAAGGTCCCTTGCAAGAGAGGTAGAAGTAGCATTAAGAAGGGTCCTCTGTAAGGCATCTCCATACTACTGAAAAGATCCCCAAACAGCCTGAAGTCCGCCAATTACTAAACCCTAAAGCCACAGAACTCTGAAAACCCCAACCCCAACGCCCGAAAGCCCTGAACACCCAAAACCCTAAACCCGCAAAAGCCCTACAAGCCAAAACCCTAAACCATCAAAAGCCAAGAAACCCAAACCGCAAGGCTCTCAAACCCTAAACCCTTAAGCATGAACCCTGAAGCCCCTAAATAACAGACCCCAACACTTAACACCATAGACCCAATTCTCGGCTGTGGGCGATGTCCATGCGCGTCTCTGGCGCATCCTGCGCAGCGGCACTGGGACGCACGGCTCGTCTCCACACCCCAAATCCCAAACCGGAAATAATAACTTAAACCGGCCTGAAACCCGAAACCCTAGACCCCACCAAACCCGAAACAGTAACCTTAAACCTTACAGACCTTACGCCCTAAACCCTAAACCCTAAACCCTGAACACTAAACCCCTAAACCCTAAACCCTAATCCCCTAAACTCTAGACCCTAAAACAGAACCCACGACCTGCCTCGTGCAAGGCTACACAGGCAGCATCCTTGAAGACGGCCTCGAAAAAGCTCTGGGGTCTTAAAGTGTAAGACACGGGGCCTTAACTTGTAGAGTGAGGTTTAGGGTTTAGGGTTTAGGGATTAGGGTTTATAAGGGTTTGGGGCGAGGCCTTAACTTGTAGGGGTTCAGGGTTCAGGGTTTGGGGTTTGAGGTTTAGGGTTTGGGGCTTAGGGCCTTTATAGGCCAATAGAAGCCCGAAAGTTGGAAACCCAATAGCCTCAATCCTTAAGAGTAGTGTATAGGGAATCCCAGCACTATTTGTCCTGAATCCGGTTTCAGATTTGGGTTCCTTCAAGGGCTTCTTCTTAACAGTTAAAGATCTGGTTCCTTCAAGGGCTCAGTCTTAAAAGTTAAAGATCTGGTTCCTGCAAGGGCTGTCTCTTAACAGCTAGAGACTTTGTTCCTTCAAGGGTTCCTTCTAAGGGTTCAGATAGACGACGGGTGAATTGCGATTAAGCTTTCGTTACAAGGGCCTGAAACTTCCTTCGAAGGGTTCGTATAACTCCAGGACCAAAAACTCCTAAACCCAAAGCTCAAAGTTTGTATACAGAAAACGAAATACATATACGTAAATATAAGTATATATACACATACATACATACA